GGAGTGTCGAGACGAAATCCTGTCTTCATTTGACTGCTTCGGTTTATACATGAACAAAAAATGTAACCAGAACTTCTGACGTCTTTTCAAGCCCAAATGTGTCACAACGCAGTGGAATCAGGCGCTCGTCAATTAATCTTTGGGCACAAATAGAGTGATATAATATCATCATGAAGCATGTTTATTTCTCTTGCAATTGGTGAAAAATAACCCAGTCTATCTTGAATAGAACTTATCATGATATTTGAGATTGAAGGAGACTGGGATCGTCCGGTGTGAGGGGTAAATTTAGCGAGTAAATGGCTATCAAAATGTAGTTACTTCCAAAGCTTGGGTGTACGAGGAAACTGGGAATTTAAGTTTGTTATGCCTTTATACAACGGTTTTTTTTGTAATATCCATACAGAACTGTGTTTTCAAAAGGACGTAAAGGTGTTGAACCCCCCCAAAAAGAAGAACATTCGAAAAAAATTGCCCAATGTCCAGAAAAGTGCCGGTTACTTTGATTTACTTGTTTTGACGAGCGCCTGATTTCACCACGCTGCCTCAGAAATTTGTTTTTCAAAGAACATGGATGATTGCAATGTTCCTTTAAATGATTGCAATTGCCCCCTGAAATGATTGGACACGTCCATCAAATGATTGTGATTGTCCGTAAAATGATTTGAATTGTCCCTCGTTTGGCACCGTTGAGATTGTCTAATGAGAGTGAGGCTTTGACCCACGCTGAATCGGTTACGACAAACAAGAAGATAGAAGGATAATAATAAATAGTATGATGCAACCGATAAAGCAAACTTTCCAACGAAAAATTATTATTCGAACCCGTATCTTTCTAGTGCAACTGTAAAGAGTCTAACCATTTCATAACACGTGCTTGTCATAGAGTTTTTAAAGTATTCAGAAACGTGAATTTTTCTCTACTGTAAAACTGTTCTTTTTTGTGTGTGTGTATTTTAACCTGCATGCGTTATTACTATACGTATGAGGCAATTCTTGGCAGTTGTTATTATACGGCCAATGCCATAATATACTAAAGTGAACCTGGTTTAATATTCCTTTCACCATAGTGTGAAAGTGAGACTACCTGCGAGGCGGGACCTCTGTAGTAGTGACGATCATATCTGATAGGACCGATCCTAATGGAGAGAGACAGAGATGTTGAGAGAGAGAGAGAGGGAGAGGGAGAGAGAGAGAGAGAGAGAGAGAGAGAGAGAGAGAGAGAGAGAGAGAGAGAGAGAGAGATAGAGAGAAGGAGAGGGAGAGGGAGAGAGA